CTAGACAAAGGGCGCCTGGGTGGCTCAGTTGGTTAAGCGACTGCCTTCGGCTCAGGTCATGATCCTGGGGTCCCGGGATCGAGTCCCACATCGGGCCCCCTGCTCAGCGGGGAGTCTGCTTCTCCCTCTGACCCTCCCCCCTCTCATGTTCTCTCTCTCTCTCATTCTCGCTCTCAAATAAATAAAATCTTTAAAAAAAAATAAAAGCACTAGACAAAACTAGAAAATAAAAAAAAATACATTTTGCCTTCATTTCTAATCATTCTTTGCAATCAAATTTTAAAATTGTTGTTTCTCTGTATCTTGATTGCTAGTATTAACAGCACAGCCACTGCATGAAACAAATTGTTCTTCAGTGACACCTCTTGAAGGCAAAAGTCGTTGTAAAACAGGGAGAAATTTAATTAAATGGGGAGTATTTTCAGACCTAATGTTTAGTTAAATAGCAACTGGACAGCATACTTTAGTAATACTAATTCCCTCCCCCCCAATTCTATTTGCAAAGTTTTCTGGGGGTCTATCACACCGAGGAATGTAATGGATGTGATAAGCTACCTGAATCCCCATCAGGAATAAAAGAGTCCTTCTTCCAGCTCCTAGGAGTGCCGCCAGCACACAGCCCTCATCTCGCAGCCCCCTTTGGGGGTTGCCACAGCTGAAGGGAGCCACCTCCCTCCCCCTTCACCCTCAGCCACACCCAAGGACGAGGGACACAGGCTCACGGGGGGCTCGGCCCTCTCCGCAGCCCCCACCTGCTCCAAAGGGCCCCCTGCCATGGTCGTTCCCTGCAGGGCTGGTTATAGGAGGCTTCTACTGGGTCTGCATCCCACTCAACTTCTCCTTTGGCCCATCCTCCCTTCCCTTCCACACGTGTTGATCCCAGGAGTCCACCCTAATAAATCCCTGAAAAGGGGATAGGGCCCTCGACGTCCTTGGTCCACACAGACAAGAAACAGGAAGTTCTGTCACGCTGAAGAACGAGGCCTGAAGGTATTTGGCAGGTGGTTTACTATCTCCAGGCATGAGATAGTGAAGGATGGGAAGGCAAACCTAAGGGCCTAGTTGTAAGTATGTGGATGACTCAAGTTCTTGTTTGGTAACAGTGAAAACTAAAAAATACTTCACCTGCTGTTTATTCTCTTTCCTCTCTTTATCCTCTGTCCTTCCGTCCTTCGGTCTCCATCCTTTTTCCCTACAGCCACCCCATCGGCCTCCCACACAAGCCCAATGTGATCTGAAAAGCAAGGTATCTTCGTCCGTTCAGGCGGGCTGTAACAAAATACCACAGGCTGGGGAGCTTGTAGGACAGACATGTTCTTCTAGAAGTTCTGGAGGCTGGAAGTCTGTGACCAGGGTGCCGGTACAGTCCAGCTGCAGACTTCCGCTTGTATCCTCACATGGCAGAAGGGGCAAGGGAGTTCCCCTGGGACATCTTTTGTAAAGGCACTAATCTCCGTGAGAGCTCGACCCTCATGAATTAATCATCTCCCAAAGCCCCCATCTCCTAATGCTACCACATGGGGCATTAGGATTCTAATATGGGAACATACGGGGCAAAAAAACATTCAGACCATAGCACGTGGCAAAGCTCCTGTGCTCTAAACACAGTCTCCTACGACTGACTAGCACACGTTCATCTTCTTTATGCACAGACTTCACACTGAAGTCATTCTTCTGGATAATGCAACAGTCAGCAGCATGAAGCTCCTACTCAGATACATGCACATTATAAGGGAAAGGAGGCTTTGAGAGCCTTTGCATATTTTGCCCGTGTCTTTGCCTATTTGCAAAGATTCTTCTTTTCTTTCTGGCTTACTCAGGAAAATGTCACCACGAAGGGGAGCAAACCTGGCAGAGAGTCTCAAGATGGTAGATAGGACAGGTAAGTTTCAGTGGGATTGGACGTCAGCCAGAAGGTCTGGGTTTCTGGGGTTAACTTCCATTCCAGAAGTATGTGGTGGTGTAGAAAGAAATACCATCCAAAAGAAGGGACTATTGAATCCCCGAGTACCTCAGAAAACTACTCCGCCTCCTCCTCAATCTTACCCACTGGCTGGGTTACTAAAAACCTCTCAGCTGTCAGATCTCATAGACACTCTTCATTCACTGTCTGACCCAACCTTTGAGTGAAATGTTATGTTGTGGACCAGCCCTTCCTTTTAGAAGCCTCTCCACCCTTGGCCTCTGGTACCTACTTCTTTACTAGCTTCCTTCTGCCCCACTATTGCTCCTTCTGGCTTTTTCTCCAGACTCCATCCTGTTTTTTTCTCATTTTACGTGTTTCCTGATGAGAAGTGATGAGCTCCTGAACAGCTACAGCAGTAGTGGGGATGAAGAGAAGATACAGTGTGGAGGTTACGTGGAAGAGGTTTCAGTTCCATCAAGTCAAACATGGGGGGAGGAAGGAGCCCCTGAACTGCCCCCCTCCCCAGGTAGCCTACCTACCCCACGGTCAGAGTGAGAAGTCCCTCAGGATCCTATAGCACTCTTGGAATACCTCGGCCAGCCCTTACCCTTACCCTTGTCCCATGGTCATGTGGTGGTGGATTTGTCTGTCTTTCCTCCTAAACTGTGAGGTCCCCAGTACCTCCACAGAGGCTGATACACTGCAGTCATCCTGTTACTGAGTAAATAAAGGAATGCAGTACTTAAAATGTGTGCAAATATAGCAAATGTTGCCATATATATTTAAAATGATCTTCCTTAAGATGCTCTACTGCCGGTCGTGGTATCAAAGTTCAAATTCCTCACTGAGTTCAAGAGAAAGGGAAAACACCACCCTCTTCTTCAACTTATTTGTAATTTTTCTTGACTCATAGTCATCAATGCATAGTTTAGCCCATAATTGTTCTGTTTATGTGACTGCCAACCCTTCAGCAAAGCCTGAAGGCTAATGTCATTAACTCTTATAGATTTTGATATCAATTATATCACCTAGCACGGTAGCTGCTCAGTAAATAGTAAGTGGGCAAATGGATTGATTACTCCTAAACTTGGGCCAGCACCTCCAGCCAGATGGGTAAGCATTTTTATATTTCCTGTACTGCCCCCAGTACTTCTGTCCACATCCCACCAGCCAGCCTGCCCACTCAAGCCTCCTTTCCCTTCCTAAAATCACCAAAATCCAGAGAACCCCAAACTCCCAAAACACATATGTACTTACCCATACTTGTACATGTCTCACTGTCACCCAGATGATCATGTGTTACAAATGCCATATGACTTCCACTAAACTCTAAGTTCCCGGAGGGCAGGGAATGTGTATTTTTTTTTTTTAAAGATTTTATTTATTTATTTGACAGAGACACAGCGAGAGAGGGAACACAAGCAGGGGGAGTGGGAGAGAGAGAAGCAGGCTTCCCGCTGAGCAGGGAGCCCGATGTGGGGCTCAATCCCAGGACCCTGGGATCATGACCTGAGCCGAAGGCAGACGCTTAACGACTGAGCCACCCAGGCGCCCCGGGAATGTGTATTTTTATCTTTCTATCATTCCCTCTACAATTTCTTCCAGCGCTTTACTTGCATGAAAGACTTTCGAGAAATATAAAACTAACTGGTTTAAGTTCAATTTTAAATATTCTGTTAGAAAATACTCAAATTTTAATCAACAAACCATTCTTCTTCCAGAGTGAGAATAGTCAGGGTTCTAAAACCTAGGCCTAGTTAAGTAAGGAAATATTTCTGGTTCCTAGGCCTAGAGATGGGGCTGCATATCACCTGGCCCCTGTAGCTTCTGTGTTTGTTTAAATTACTGTAGGTGTTTGGTTGCAATCATAAAGTCATTTTTTCAGGCTTATGACATATTTTCCCCAATTATGAATGTAATTCATGCCACCAACCGATTTTTCTTGAATTGACAATGATAGACCCCCTATCCAAGTCATTTCATTTTTGTGTATAAATTCTCACACTGTAGCCTGTTCCTTGGAAATACTAGTTACATAGATAATAAGTAAAACCTTTTAAGAGGAAATCCATTTAAATCATCCCTCGCTGTTTCCCCCATGAAGAATGCTGCTAGCCAGTAAAGGAAGTCAAAATCCCTAAAAATGAGAGGGGAGAGGGAAACAGTTCATCCCGCCAAGCTCAGTATAGCATGACAAATCTTCTCCTACAATCTGGCTTCTCTCTCCGCAACTATCTAAAACACACCACTACAGAAATTGGTCACCCCCAGGTCTAAAGTGTCAATGTCATTGCAGGGAAACAGGCCTTTTCAGGCGGGTCTGATCACAAACATGCAGAATGGGAGGCCGACAGTCTCAGCAGATGAGCGTTTTCTAGACAGGCTTGTATTTCACTTCCAAGCCCAAACCAGGAAGTGTTGTTTAAGATGAGTCAAACACTAAAAACACTTTGGCCTCGGAAACAAAACCGACCAGGCTCCAGAAAGGCTATATAGGGGTTTAAATTTGGGACTATTCTTCGGTTTGGATTGGAACCTACGGCTTCCTACCCGTAAGACGTTTTAAACTTTCCCAAAATTGCGCCCCCCCCCAAAAAAACCCCAAAGTGAGATGACATAAAAGACACAGAGGCGAGCGTACACACCTACACAAAACACACACATCTATACAAACACGTGCACAGACCAGTTTGTTTTTGTGATCCGCTTCCTTATCTAGACGGTCCAGGCTTGGGCCAGATTTGAGTTGGTAAATTCTTCTCCAAACTAAACCAGGGCAGATTGCAGAAAAGGTGTTTAATTCTGGAGATTTTTACGAAGTGTCGAGGCGTAGCCAGGCCACGCCCGGGTCCCGCTTTCCCGTTGCACAACTGAAAGCTATGTCCGGGCAAGTCGAAGGAGGAACCCTGAGACCTCCAGCCCCTCCTCCCTGCGACCACGGGGAGCAGCGGAGTCCTGGGAGGCGGGGAGGATCTCTGGGTGTAGACAACGGGGCCGAGGGTGTTAAGTTTTAGCCCCGGGAGCCCCGGACCGCTACAACGCGGACAGCAGCCAGCCGCGCGCAGGAAGGGGAGGACCCGACCGGGCAAGGGGGAGCCACCGCGCGGGCTCGGGGCTGGGTCGGAAAAGCTGCCTCACGGGCGCGCCCTCCGGCCCCTCCGCTCCTTCCCTCCCTCCCAGAGCGCCCCGCCCGGGCCTCCCTTCTAGTCTCCGCTGCGCCCTCCTCGAGGCAGCGTTTGCAGCGGCCTTGCCATGTCTCAGCCGGGCCAGAAGCCCGCCGCCTCCCCGCGGCCCCGGCGCTCTGCAGCGGCCCGCCATACACAGGAGGTGAGTGGCGCTCCTCCGGGAGCCGTAGGGCTGAACGCTGGGGAGACCCCAGCCCCGGAGCTGTGGGCCACCTCCTCTGGGCGTAGCCTGCCTGACCTCCCGGCCCGTGCGCCCCCTCCCGGGCCGGGGAAGGGCGCGGGGCTCAGGGCCGGCCGCTGTGCAGGTGGCTGGAGGTGGCCGGGTATTCCCGGGCCCCAGCCAAGCGCGCTGGGCGTGGCGCGAGCTCAACAGGGGGTGGCCTGCGTCGGAAAAAGTTGGATGGTGAGAGGTGGGTGAAATGACGATAGGGATGAAAGGGGGAAAAAGTTCATTCGGGACCCCCAGAGTTGAGGGGGGTAGTTTAACTGGACGACGGAATCCTCTCTTCCGTGTAAAACCCAGGCTGCAGGGCGTGGCTGCCCGGAGAAATAAAACATCTTCCCTAACTAACCTCGAGCCAAATCGGGCAGGGTGGGGCCAGCCGGCGGGGGCGGGGCCTGCTTCGGGCACCGCCCAGGTGCCCTGCCTCCTGAAGGCTTCAGGGCTTGCAGAGCTCAGAGCTCGCCAGCTCCAAGGCAGGAGAAGTGGGAGCCCCGTGCCTGCCGCTCCGCACCCCGCGTCTTCGCCGGGCCCTCTGCCGCGCGGCTCAGAGCAAACCGGTTGTCGCCATGGCATTCGCAAGCTGGTGGTACAAGACGGTAAATAGGAGGGGTAGTGCTTGGGCAGAAGGGAGTGTGTTTGCTTTGTCTTTCCGGGAGTGCGGATGAAGTATTGTCCGGGTTTTGGCTGGGAAAGGGTGGGTACCAGGGGCGACCTCCTCTTAGGACTTCAGGTTAGGCTCCGGGAGAGGCCGAGACTCACCCTACTGTGGTATGCACGAGCGCGCCCGGGCGTGCGAGTCGATGTGAGCAGATGCAGGAGGCGCTGCTCCGCTCACAAGTTGAACGGGACAGGAATTGTTGCTGCAGGAATTCCGCCCCTGGATGCGGATTCCTGGATGAACTCAGCTCGCAAGAGTAGAGATCTAATGTTTTTAACTTGTAAGCAAAGCTCGAACCTTTTAGAGAAATGTTCTTGGACATGCATTTTCCAACACAAAGAAGGAGAGACAGCCGGAATGGGGGGCAAGGAGAAAACCCAAAACTCCAAGGAGCAGAAGCAAGGGAGATCAAGACCTTTGTTGAGAATGAGACAGAGAAAGCAGGGGCAGTTCTGTACTTTATTCCACAAAAAATACACAAAAGATGTGTTGGTAGGTGAGAATCAAAATATTTATATCCCACTGATTGATTGATTATGTGAGAATTTCAAAAACTTAGTTTAAGTACACCTCTTTCTCAGCATGTGGTATTGGGAAAAGCAAGATTATTGTAATCAGACACTCTTTAGAGAAAACCTTATATTGGAATCAGTAAACTGTCACTGATAAGCCAATGGCCATTCACTGAGCATCTACTCTGTGCCAAGACGGGTACTAGCCTCCAAGTACACAGTGGAGAATAAGACGATAGTTCTTTTTCTCAAAGGGCAATGAGTCAACCTTTCTGAACCTGTTTCCACATCTGTAAAAAGACGGTTATAATAGGCACCACATAAGGGTTGTGGGGACTGATAAGATTCGTAAATCAAAGTACCGTACCCATATACTTTTAATGATTGGGAATTACAGTTTCCCTTTAGATATTTCTTTGTAATTGTTTCTCATTACGTTTTCTTATTTATGTGCTAAAAGGAAAAGTTTGCTTTGAGTCATTATTGTCCTAAGGTTCTTATCAGAATGCACCACATGAATTATCTGCAAATATGGATGGCAGTATTTCAGAGTTGATATCAGACTTCGCTTTCCAATTCATGATTCTCTAAAGGAAATTATGCTGGAATATTTGAAGTAGTTTAAATCAGTGCTTTTAACCCTGTTATTTTTTTAAAAGATTTTATTTATTTGAGAGAGAGATCATATGTGCGCCGGAGTGGGGATGGGGGAGGAGTAGAGGAAGAGAGAGAAGCAGACACCCTGCTGAGAAGTGAGCCCTATGCCAGACTCTATCCCAGCACCCTGAAATCATAACCTGACCCAAAGGTAGAAGTTTAACCTACTGAGCCACCCAGGCGCCCCTAACCCTGTTATGTTTAGGCATAGTCCGTCATTTTGCTAAAATCTCTCTTATAATCCAATTTGGGAACTACTATAAAATTTTTTTGCCTCTTATAATCAGCAAACTGTCTGCGATCATCTTTGATTCTTCCCAAACCAGTGCCATCTGAAAGAAATTTTGTGAGAATCACATAGGTAATTTAAAATTTCCTAGTAGCCACATGAACAAAAGCAAATACAGGTGAAATTAATGCTAATAATATATTTTATTTAACCCACTATATTCCAAATATTATTTCAACATATAATCAATGTACAAACCATTGAGATATTTTAGATCTTCTTTTTTATATTAATTCTTTAAAATCCAGTGTTCATTTTATACTTATAGCAATTCATACTTGCTACATTTCAAGTACTCAGAAGGCATCAGTGGCTAAGGGCAATGGTATTGGACAATATAGTTCTAGACACAGCTTCCTAACCATTTTTGTTTGATGGTTTTGAGGGGGTGATCATGACCATTTTGAGAATTAAAGCTACTGACCATTTTCCCTCAGCAAAATACACACACAAATACACAAAAGCTCACCCATAAATCCTCTAAAGGTCCACGGAGCCAATTTATAACACATATATTTCGCATATATAAAATATGAATTATAATATACAATAATATGATATATAATATAATTGTATAGTATATACTCTATAATATAATGTAATTATATAGTGTTATATACTGTACAATATATGATGTTATATACTATTAGAATAATTATATAATATATAAATATATGATTTATATATTACATATGTATTTTTATCATGAATTTTATATAGTATATAGTATGATATATATGATATATATAATGCTTCTGGTAAACCCTATAATTAAAGTATCTTTACTAGGATCCTTTAAATACTGAAAAAGATTGTGAATGACCTAACTTTAAAAATCTAGGCAGCATAAAATAAAATAATTAAAAAATATATCTATGATGTTGTTTAAGGGAGTGCTACCTATGAAGCCAGTCAGTGAAACACATTACAATGTATATTTCCACCATCAATATCATTGATCTTATCTTCCAAAGAATTATGTGATTGTAGAAAAAAAAAAAACCCAACAAAACAACTTTAAAAAGCTAGATCTGAAGAACATCCGATGAGCATCGTAATGATGCAGCATGAAGGAGAGTAAATTTGGTTGAAATCAGGAATCACATTCCTGAGTCATAAGTTGATTTGATTAGGCCATGTTAATTAAAGGTGTTTCTTAGTCTAATTAGAGCCAGGGGCCCAGTGCCAGCATGATCAAGGAGCCCAGTCATTTGGGAGGTCCCATCATTGTGGCCAGTCTGGGAAGAGTGTCAGAAGCCTTCCTGGCAGGACAAACCACTTGGCTGCAATGACTTTTAGGAGTAAGGAATGCAAATTATAGAATCTGAGAAAACGGCACAGGCCTTAGAGTGTCTGGGAGAATGGAGGTCAGACACAACTTTGCCCTTTTGGTTGATATTCTAAACTGGTTTGCTTCCCATTGCAGATAAGACTTTTTAAATTAGGAGTAACATCTGATGATGTTCTCTAATCAGTTTTGGCACTTCCCAGAAAGTAAATTATATTCTACAAGTGCTTTTTAAAGAATGGTGTAGCTTGCTGTGGGTGGAAACATGGGTGGCCATTTGAGATTCTCCGGTGAGTGGGTAGGCATTTAGTTCTGAGTAGGTTGTCTGGTGTAATACAAGACTTCTCTAAGCAGCCCATTTTTATTCTATTCTGTTCCTTTTTGTTTTGTTTGTTTGTTTAATTTTTATGGTGGTAAAATAGACACATAAAATTTGCCATCTTAACCATTTGTAAGTGTAAAGTTAAGTGGAATTAAGTACATTCATATACTTTTTAAAAATTTTATTTGTTTAAGTAATCTTAAATACACCCAACATGGCGTTCAAACCCAGGACCCCGAGATCGAGAGTAGCATGCTCCTCCAACTGAGGCAGCTAGGCACTGTGTGCACATTCATATTGTGCAACCATCACCACCATCTATCTCCAGAACTCTTTTTATCTTGCAAAACTAAAACTATAAAGCCATTAAAAATAAATCCCCATTCAGTTTGTATAATCTGCTTGAATACATAGCACTGTGTTCAAGTATCTGTGTTGCTTTTTCTTCGTATTCTGTTGTAAAAAAAAAAAAAAAGTGTTTCAGGTGTCTTTCAGTTAAGAAAAATGTGAAATAACTCCATCCAGGGAACACTATTTATGTAAGTTGCCTTCTCAGTTGGAGGAGGTATTTATCCCAGGGAGAAAAGGGGTCTATGGTTAGAGTTTCCTTAAAAAAGTATGGAATTCATTTTGACTGTTGAGAACTCATAGAACACAAAAATAATTTGGTAAAGGCCAAATATGTTCACAGGTAATTATTGCTCACCTACTACGGTCAGGTTCTGTAAAGAGTTCCACGGACATAGCAATTGTGCGTTTCTCATAGATAAAAATCACAAGTGCATCCTAATGACTACTCTAAAAGCAACAAAGTAACTATTGAAATTCTCATGGCATCTTCTTTGCCTTAGAGAAAATTCAAAAAGCCTTACTGCAGGTAGATCCCAGAAGCTGAACTTGGCAAAGAGGCAGTCGATGCTACCTCTGAAAACTGGACAAAAGGAGCATGCCCGTAACAGTGTCATCTTGACTTATCCATGAGAATGTTAAAGTGTTAGGAAGAAGCATACATGGAGTTTAGGAGAAACATCGAGATTTCAGAATTATGGCCATGCAGTTAATCCTTAATATATGTCTTTTATAGAATCCCAAAGAACGTTATCCTGTAATTTTAGAATTTGATAGCAAATGTTTTTAGAGGCGCAGAAAGATACCATGTATTAACAGGCCAGACCTTTTACTTACTTATATTT